AATTATTCGTCTATATAGTCAACGCTTCGATTTGATGGTGTTGCATATGACAAGCTGCGGACAAGCTGGCATGCTTTTCAAAGCTTTTTAAATCAAAATGTTTAAAATCCAGAAAATGAAAATACGAAAAAACTTTTTTTTTTCATTTAATTGCGACTCAATTACACACGAAGTAAATTTCATATGTGTGATCTTTTAAACACAGAGATCCTTCAATGAAAAGCCATTTGCTTATGATTTGAACGACCAAGATCTTCTCGGAGTAGAAATTTACAAGTGAATGGAACGGCATGGTCTTTTTCGGCGAAGTCGCATGGCATGTCATATTCTGAGCACAGCAGCGATTTAAACAAAAAAATCGATAAGTCACTATTACTTGAAAAGATGCTCTAAAAGTGAGCACTACTCAAACATTATTAAGTGTTAAATTGTACAGATATAATTTAACTCACGACGCTTTCGTCAATGTTTTTCAGCTCGTTGAAAGAAAAGTCCGCTTCTTCAAGGCATGCCCAAGGCTCCATTTCAACAATAGGAACCAAGAGATCATCGTCGAGAAGAAGATCCTGGATTACACCAAAAATCAAAAAAGAAAAAAACACCTAGTCTACTACCTGCAGAATTTGAATGCCTGTCAAACGCAAACCTTCATGCTGTTTTAGGAGCTGGTTCTAATCAACTATAACATTATTACCAGTGCTCAATGACTCCAAAGTTGGCTTATTTAGTATAATAGATGTTAAACAGCGTCAAGTTTTCACTTAATTTTCGAAAAGTATATTAGTATGGCCGACTTCTTATTCAAAATTAGCCGACTTTAGACCAGCCACATTCACTGACATTGAAGCCCATACATCAGTGCATATGGCTGGCCTAAAGTCGGTTTTTGAATGTTCAATAAGACAAAGACAATGATAGGTGAAAAACATCAGATAAGTATCCTGAGCTTGGTATTTGACTACTCATGTCTTGCAGAAAGCTAGATTACAAAATTTCACTTATAAACTCGTCGAATTTGTGATCTTCTTCTTTGAAAAGACACTTTTCCAAGTAGCACGCATTT